CGATATATCAACGTCCACTATATCATCCCATTTTCACTACATTCATTTACTGTGTACAATCGTCCTCGTCAACATCGGTATAGAAGCGGGTGTAGTGGGTCCGTGTATACATAACATGTATAGCTGTGAGATATTCCGTAATCTAAGCATGTCTGGTTGATTGGATGACTTCAGTTACTCAAGGGGCCATCTACAGTACAAAATATAAAACGTGAACAATATAGTTTAGTAAATATGATGCGCAATGATGTCAATCAAACACACTTGGGCTCAAATCCTTATTATAGTGTATCGTGTGAGCTCACACCAACATGGCCTTCAATTGTGCACAAATCAATGCGAAGGCATCCGTCCTTGCCCATCAAAACTCAGGATACCTCTTCAGAATATAATATATATGAATCAAGGCCTGACCTAAGTATATAGTGCTCCATGTGGCTATCCGCAGTCCCAAGGCCACCAAGGGATCTCCGACACTGCCTGTATACAGGTGCTGAACTCCAAATATCCTATCCTTGGCTACCATTAATGATCGTCAAGAGCCTCAAAGTGGTATATTTATTCGAACACAATAGTACGGTACATCTAAATTTACATTTAAAATTCTCAACCCCACACTCCATGAAAATGACAACATAAATATACATGACCTTGAAAACGTGTTATCCATACGTTATCCAAATAAACTCAATACACAATTGTCACACCACCATATCACTTAAAGAAAACAAACACATATAAACACATAACCTCACATATTAATGTATTTTGTATTGTAATTGAAAAATATCAATATTTACCTTTTTCACCACTTTCTTGCTCAATATCTACCTTAATAAAATAACCTCTACATTAATCATAACTTATCATATTATTTCCCCGTTATCAAATCTAAACTAAACCTATAAGATGATATAGTTTACTTCATAAAATTCTCCTTATAATAATACCAATAAACAATAATAATAATAACATAAATGAAATTCTATTTATTGTTATAAAAGAAATTCCATAACTTCTAAAATAAAATTAATACATATAGACATCATGCTAGTCGATACACTACCATATTATTTTTCATTTCATGTTTGGTCCATTTTTCATTTCATTTATCACACAAGTGTGTGTGTACACCCATACCTATTAACCAATTTCTTATCCAATCAATGCATTATAACATTTTGCTTCTCATCTCATCATATAGCCAAATCAAAATAATTTAAGTTTAACACGCAAATGCTAATTGTTTTCTCTCCAATTGACCATGTCCACATATATACACATATTAGTGGCCCAATTCCTATAACCAATATCATGATATTAACAACTATTATAGTAAATCATTTTCCGTCCCTACTTTCTTTCTTCTTTAATTACTTCCAACCATTTTTTTTTTCAATATCATCATTTTACCATCTTTTCCCCAAATCTCTTTCACACAATCTTTGATAATGCAAGCTATATAAACTAAACTCACTATTTCTTGAAATAACTTATATATTTTTAAAACTTTTAGAATTAATAATTTAAAATAAAGAAATTATAATTCACCATCCTTGATTTAATTAATTAAACTTAACTCCAATTTTATCTTCCTTCGATTATTAAGGAACTCTAAAATAAGAATTTTAATTCCTACTCATAAATCAATTAAATACTTAAAACAAATAATTAGTTAAACTATTACCTAAATAATTAACTAACTAACTAAACAATTAACTAAATGATTAAATTACAAAAAGAAAGAAAAGTTAAGACTTGCCTTAAAAGGAAAGTAGACGAGCCAAATCATCCCATATTTACGGTGGAGGAAAATGGTTTAAAGTGCAATTTCTCAAATTGCACTTTAACCCTTAGGATAAGTATGCAAATTTCTTATTTACATATAAAATTACACTTTAATTCTTAGGTAAATATGAAATTACACATTTTTTTAATAAAATTGCACTTTCCATACCCATAATACTATGTTACTTATAATTCCTATATAATTTATTCTATCAATTCAATTAAGTCCCTAAATTTTTTTTTTTTTTAAATCCTTCCTAAAATATTAAAATGTTTGCTAGAAAATTTCGGGATGTCACACTTTGTCCAAACCTTTCAAAATGTTGCAATTGAAGTCCAAATGGATGAAAACTGTTAGTTGACCACAAATTTAAAATCTGACCAATTGTTGACTAGTTTTTAAAGGGTAAAATAGTAACTTTATATTTTTTCATATAAAAAAAACTAAAAAAATAATTAAATAAAAAACCTATTATCTTCTCCACCAACCCAAAACCAAAACCTTCAAAATGTCGGCACCACCACAATTACCTGTGCCACCGCAGTCACCAATCTCTGGCGCCACCTCACCAAACTCCAAAAACTAAAAATTAAAAATTCATTTTCACCTTCTTCTTCTCCATCCACCCACACCCACTACCCATTTTCACATTCTTCTTCTCAATTCATTAATTGAAAGATTTTGAATCTTGTCTGATTGCAAGAGAAACTCATTATGTCTTAGCATTGTTCGATTGCAAGCTGCAATTGGGTGCAGATCTTTAAGAGCCAGACTGGTCTTCCACATCGCTCAGATCTTCGATTGATGCTTTTTTTTACAGTAGAGCTCCCAAGTGATGGTACTGATGCAATGGGGTGTGGCTAGTGCTAATTGGAACTCTGCCATTACAGGCAAATTCAGATCGAAGTCCCTTGGGGCGGGGCTAGTGCTGTGGCTGGCCACACCGTCGTCGGAAAAGGTGACGTCGCTTTTAGAGCTCATGTCGCCTCCACTGATCTGATGGTACCTTCGTAGTGGCACCGCTTGTGACCACCCAAAGCCTAGCATGTAGGGAATGACTTGTGGCAGACGAAGCACTCATGAAGTTTGCCTGTTGGGTTGAGAGCGGATACATTAGAAGCAGTGCTTGCGTTATTGGCGGATGTCGATGTGGAAGGATTGCCATCGTCTGAAGAGGTGGCGGTGGAGTTCTTGCGATGGCTTGTTTTTTGTCCGCCGAAGGCTTGGTGAAAAGCTTTGTTACACACGCTATAGTTGTATAACTGGTTTTGGGTCATTGGTGGCAAATGTTCTGTTTGCTTCTTATTTCTTAACATCGTCTATAGTGGTAAAGTTAGTTGTTGTCTTAGTAGGACTAGTTGTGGCGGTGGCTGTTGACGTTTGGGTGTGTAGCAATGGCTATAAGCGTTGCGTTGGGGTGGGGTGGGGTGGGGTGGGGTGGGGTGGCGTGGGTGCGGGGCGTCTGATGAAGAAGAAGAAGGATTTTCTTTTTTCTAATTATTATAATTGTTTTTTGTGAAAATTGTAAAGTTACTATTTTGCCCTTATTACATTTGATCAAGTTTTACTGTACCGGTCAACTAATGGTTAAATGGATGATTTCCATCCATTTAGACTTCAACTGCAACATTTTGAAAAGTTTGGTATCATAGGTGACATAAATGAAAGGTTTGAACAAAATTTACTATTTAATAAAAGGTTTGGTACCGTGACTACAATTTTTCCTAAAAATAATTGTAAAAAGTATTAAGGGCTGTTTGGCAAGGCTTTTTTTTTTTTTTACTTCTAGTTTTTGTAATTAAAATAAAAAAGCTCTTTGGGGAAGTTATTATTTATTATCAGTCAAAATTTTCTCCAATTTTAGCTCCATTTTTTGAAAAAAATAAATTTTCTAATATTGATTTTTAAAATAATATGTAGTTAAAAAGTAGTAAAATTTTTATATTTACGTGTAAAATTATTTTATTGAAAGCATATGCGATTGAAAAAGTTTTGGGAGGAAAAATGATTTTTTGGAGATCAAGGCTCAAACAAGGGCTTTAGTGTAAGGGTTATTATATTGTTATCACAATTTTTATTTGATAACCACATTTTAATTGCAGTTAAACTCATCAATCTTTGCTCATTGTAACAATTATTTCCTCAATTTTTTTTCCCATCGCATTCTTATTTTCAACATTTCATTAATTAGTAAATCTCGTCATTGATGATGATTTATATCAAAATACTTTGTTTTCATACTTTCAAATGAAGAAAAAATATTTTTCACAATTGTATTTATTTATTATAAATATGATGAAAAAATTAGTTGTTTTACGTCATTTTGACAGACTTTTGAATATAAAACTATTATCAAATACAAAATGTGTTAACTAATAGAAAGTTTGAGAATGAAAATTATATAAAAAACAGTTAGGAACACAAGTGGTGTAATGAACAATGATCAAACATTAAGTACAATTAATGGTAAATGCATGCCTTGCAAATTGCCATATAATTTGGCATACGCTGTCACTGAAACTGCAAACAAGGCCCACAAACAAATATTAAACTTTGTTGGTAAACTATTTTCTTGGCCATGTCGCCTTATCGATGACCACTGACCTGTTCGACAAAATGCTCCAAAGGAATACATAATACTACTGTGTTTTATTATAGGCTTTATACTTACTCCACTTCTGTAGATAACCAAGCCGGCAGCCTTACCACTTTGGGTGTCACCATTCATTATATAATTGTCCATGCCTACAGGGCCCATCTGTATACATGTCATGTTAATTTCATGCACTTCATTAAGTCATTTCATCTAAATGCCTAAGTTGTATGTAAATCATCTTGCATAATTTTGGTAATTGGGGTCTTTGAATTTTTGAGCTCTACTTCTTATTATGGTACTATCTAAAAGTTTAAGGTGTTAAGAGAGAAACCGAGTTGTTTCTTTTAAGTTAGGTCTCTGATACACTCGTTTGCTTTTTTGGGTTGTGCATGAATTTTCCTTTATCTTTTTATAATGATCATCGCATAAATTTCTCAACAATTGTATGATAGGATCTTCATCAAGAAAGTCAATGTGTATTGTTACTTGTACAGAGTTGCATCATGCTTGAATTATTATATCTAGTTGACTTAATTTTTGTACTTACAACTTAAATGGATGCTGAATCTTGACATTCTAACTGATACTATACAATATTGTGCTTATAATTAAAACATAATCTTGGTTCTTCATGACATCTTATTAAATTGCTGTTATGTAGGATGTAGAGACATATTTATTTTTGATGGAGCAAATTACTAGACCTTTTTGAGGAGGATTCTAGACTTTTGCAAAGCAAGTTTTATCTAAAGCGATTTTGGATTTCTTCCTTGGACATATAATAGAGTAATTCATTAGTAAATGAAATAGATAAAATATTCTCCCTGATGTTTTTATGTCACACGTTGCACGTTTATAAGGAACTATGATGCCTGCCAATCTTTATATTTTGTTGTTTAGTGTGTATTTGTCATAGAGAATCTACCATTTGGAGCATGAGATGATGTGAATTTGTCTCGTTCAATTTAATTGATATTTCCAATGACTCTTCTTTGTTTCCAACTTCCAATCAAGGATGATACAGAAAACTAAATTAGCTAGAAAACTCTTTGTAGGTCCAGAGAATTCTTTTTGGACACTATAATTAATGAAAAACTTGTTAGTCTCTCCAACTATAAGAGCTTCTGTCTGTTTCAATTGCTGTATTAGCGAAAAAGCATGGATTCAATGGCTTCTTCTGCATTCCGCTATCAATGGACATTACTTTTCTTAATCGCTCTGAGCAGAATTTCAGGCATCTCTTGCCTCCCTAATTCTGAATTTGGAGATAAACTTGCTTCCTAATTCCCTTGATCATTTTTCTCACCTGAGTTTTCTGGTTGCAGATTGCTATGATCCTTTGGATCCAAATGGAAATATTACGGTTACCTTCGACATAAAGAAGTATACAATTGATGGCTATGTGGTTAGTCCTTAATTAACAGTGTATTTTTCTGCTTTAGGTTTGGATTTGTTTCTTGTCAGAAGTTTTTCATTTATGAAGAGGCTAATTGTTGTCTTTCGGTTTTATTAGCTCTCAAATATTTAATTTGTTTTATGATTAACTAGTTGCTTAATTCCGAGTTGCCTTGTTTACTTATGTCATGGTTTTCCACGATAGAAAAAAAGCTTCCTATACATAGTGTGAGTGGGCGATTGATCAAGTTGTTTTAGCTGTCTTCAGTCATATAGTAAATATGAGTTCTTCTGTGCTGTGCTGATGATGGAAATAATATATAACTTCGACATGGACGTACTATTTATTGTTGGTTGATTTTGACAAACGTTGATGGCATGTTTGGTGTGAAAGACCCGATATGACTCGATAGTAATACGAACAGAAAGAAGTTAAACATTTTGTTCATCAAAATTTTGGTCATGTACGTAACAAACATGTATTGTGGGTTTACTTTGATTCAGTAAACAACTTCCAAATTTTAAATACAGCACTTGCCAATTCATTACTATCTTGAATTGCACTTGGCATCTTTGATAACTCATTCCCCAGTAATTGTGACCTGTCAGTTAATCTGACTGCTGCTTGTAGGCAAGAGTAATGATCCAAAACTACTACCAGTATCGTCATGTAGACAACCCAGGTTGGAAACTAGGATGGACGTGGGAAAAGAATGAGGTCATTTGGTCAATGTCTGGTGCTTTTTCCGTCCAACAAGGAAATTGTTCGTCCTTCAAATTCCAGGTACCACATTCATGCAAGAAAGATCCTGTGATAGTTGATCTGATGCCAGATGCACAGCCACAAAACAGGACCGATGGTTGCTGCAGTGGTGGCATCCTTGCTGCCTGGGCTATTAACCCTTTGATGTCATACTCATCCTTTGAGGTAACTGTTGGCAATTTGGAGCAGAATACTACGGGTTACAGGCCTCTGAATCTTACTTTGATGGCTCCGGGACCTGGTTATACTTGCAGCCAAGTAATGGACATAGATCCCACAGTTTCTTCAGTGATTGGGGGCAGAAGACAAGAACAAGTTTTCAGTAAGTACTTCATCATTGAGTTCAACTCGTGTTTTGTTAGATGGATTAAACAGCAATGGACATCATTAAGGAAGAAAAAGAAGCAAAATTCTTGTTCATTTTACTATCGAGTACGATCTAATACTGCTTACCAAAATGCAATTGTGGAGTACTAGGTTCTTAGTCCTAACTAAAGATTCGTGATGTTCAGGAACATGGAGATCAACATGCACGTACTCTAGTTTTTTGGCTAAAAAACCACCAGTTTGTTGTGTTTCACTGTCAACATTTTACAACCCTACAATCACATCATGCCCTTCATGCAGCTGTGGCTGTAGAGTTGCTGATGAGCTGACAACATCATGTGTTAGGTATGTTACTTTCTTTAAATTGCTCTCCGGCATACTATATGCATAAGTCTAATTTTGTGTGTACATTATTTATCTATGTTGAAATAGACAAGGTTCGTTCCCATCAAATTTGCTTGATGCTGAGTTAGTTCGATGCACCAATCATATGTGCCCACTTCGGGTTCACTGGCATATTAAGAAAAATTACGTGGATCGTTGGAGAGTAAAACTGACAATCTCTAATTACAACTACGGGAAAAATTACTCAGATTGGAACGTTTTGGTTCAACATCCAGGATTTAGCCAGCCTGCCACTACTTATAGCTTCAACAATAAGGTGCTTCCAACTTCAGGTACACCTCTGCAGAATTGTACTTAGATGTTTATTTGTGCCTCGATGTATATTAAGATTCTATACTAATTATATGATCATACTTTATGCAGAAGAAGTTGCCCTCTTCTGGGGGATTTTTTCGTACAACTCTGAACTCGTGCAAGCCGGTGAGAACCAACTGGGATCAGTGAGTACAGAGATACTTTTGCAAAAAGATTCAAAATCATTTACACTCAGAAATGGATGGGCGCTTCCTAGAAGAATATATTTCAATGGTGAGAATTGTCAAATGCCACTTCCAGATAACTTCCCAATGTTACCAAATGGTAGCCCTATGACAAAGCCTTCTCATAGCCAGTTTGTTCTTCTGACTGTGGTCTATTTGACTTACCACATATTTTTTCGACTTTGATATAATCTTTTTCGTACTTTAGCCCTTTATATCGGTGTAGGAGATTACAGACCCCGGGGATGAGACCGAAGCCTTTTCCGATCCACCATCTGGATTTGCTCAAGAGTTCATTTGAATGGAGATTAATGACAGTTATCCAATTATAGTTGCATAAAAAGAATTTGTAAAAGAAAACAGATTGCAGAATTACATTGTTGATTGCACAGATACATTGTATATATTGTAGAAATTAAGAACATGGTGGTTGTTTGTTACAAGCAATTCTATTTTCAATTCATGATATGCGGCTTTGGCTACTAGGTGGCTTTCTATTTCTTAAGATAAAATGGGAAATTTTAATATCTCGTTCAAATCCGTATTTTTATTATTATTGTCTGTTATGTCTCCAATTCACACGAGCTAAGGTAGATGAGGCATAAGCTCGTCACAGAACCAATCGAAATCACAACTTAAGAGAAGTACGTGAAACACGTAATAAAGATCATATCATAGAATTTATTTAAATTTACATAAATATTAGGCTTTTTACTTGATGGACTATTGTTACACATCCACCTCATGTGGAACCAAAGCAGATGCCACATAGAATCGCTTGGCCACATGGCAACAACTTTCAATGTCACCACCTTAATCTCACCTCAATTGTAAGTCAAAATAGACGCTTTGCACCTCCATCACCCCCAGGGTTATAGTCACCCTGAAGGGGCGGAGGACCGACCACTATGAGTCATGCTCCATATGCAATAGCCTGCAAACCATACATGAGAGGTAAACTACACTAGATAAGTCCAGTGCGACAAACTCGACCGAAGAATTATTAGTAGGAGATTCGAACTCGTGACCTTTAGTTTTCGCGTTCACCTACTCCACTAACTCGGCCACCCCGGAGGGGTTAGGTCAATATTATTATTATTATTATTATTGTTGTTGTTAATGATGTTGTTGTTAATTAATATTTTTTGAGCTGGACTTTTCGTGGGTTGACCGAACAGTTTTTAGGTTTTTATTTTCGAATCTCTGTCCCATCAATTTTGATTAGAGAGAGGATCAGTCACACACGCTTCAGGCCCATCTCCTCTTCAGCACGATATACTTTCAACACTTCAAAAGAGAAGAACAGTTTGGGAATAATCGTGAAATATTTCCGGCTGATATCGAAAATTGACGGAAAATTAAACGAAATTACACCATCAATGGCTCCTCTTCAAGATGACAAAGCAGCTGAAGTTACAGAGGTGTCCATCCCTAAACGCCCAATCTCCACTGTCGTTTTTATTATCGGTACTCACTTTTTCTAGATATATTTTGATTTTTTTTCCCCGTTTTGTACGTATATGTTATGTATATACTAACTTCTATATATCTCTTTTGTCTGTGTGTATGAAAATGGTGCATAGCTATGCAGAAGGAAGCTTCACCTCTAGTGGAAAAGTTCCAGCTTACCCAAGAATCCAATTCTGTGTATGCCTTCTTTTTCGATTTCAGCTTTATAAATAAATTCTATATTATTCTTGTTTAGGATTGGATAGCAGACAACTGAGATCCTACCCAAAAAACTGAGAATAAAGAGGATTGGGAAAAGGTCTTTTCCATACAATCTCTACTGGTAATCTTTGGAAAGTAAAAGCATGCTATAGATAAGTGGAATTAAATACGTTTATTGGTTGCACATATCAATAAAGTCTCGTCTTTTACTTATTTGCGCTAAGTAATTGTTGGTATTAAAATAAATAAATTGGAAAATGTGATCTGTAATCTTATGGAAACTCTACAAGTGCCCGTTACACTTTTTCTATGGGTTGTTTTATCTCGTATAATCTTATGCAAATGATGCAGATTTCCAAATGGGGTCCCGTGGGTGAGGTACAGTGGAAAATATAAAGATCTGAATATCAATATTGTTTGCCCTGGAAAAGACGTAGTTTTGGGTATGGATTTTGATTTTCTCACGTGAATTGTTTTCAATTTGTAGTGTATGTACTCACCATTGAGTCTAATCTGCTTATTTCTAGATATATTGTCGATATGGTTCTATTGTAACAATAAGATTCTTTTAGCATGTTTGATCTTTTTTTTTTCTCTGAAACTAAATAAAATCAGGTCCCATGTAGTTAAGAATGATCATATCCTTGTTCCATTCGATATTTTTTCAACCAGCAGTGGGGGAGGGTAGGAGACTGGTATTGGAGGAATCATTTTTTCTGAAAGTGGTTGATCATTCTTGAGTATATGTTATTATTAGTAGAGGAAGAAGGTGTGCACATTAAGTTCTGTAACTTGACCCTGAATAGTGTAATGCATTCGGCAGTTTGAGCGGCTTTATTCTTATTTGTTTGGTGGTCACCATAAATTTCCAACTACTGAGTTCTTAGTTGTTTCTTTATCAGGTGTTGACAGCGTAGGCACTGTTTCTGCCTCACTTATAACTTATGCTTCTATTCAAGCTTTACAACCGGACCTTGTAATAAATGCAGGCACTGCAGGAGGTTTCAAGGTATTACTAATCCTGCTATGATGGCTTTCATATTATTTTGTTTTTTATGTATTGATTTTCTGGCCTTACCATACTTGCTTATACTTCCAATCCTCCTTTATGCATGTGGTGTACGTTCATTCTACTGCTGATTGTTCTATGTTCCTTGTGTGTGTGTGTGTGTGTGTGTGTGTGTGTGTGTGTGTATATATATAATTTTTTTCTTTGGTTTCCTTATTCTTTTAACCATTTTTCTTTATATATTTTCTTTTTCATTTTTTTACTTGTAATTTCTATTTGGATCACTATAACTGGCTCCATTGAGCTTGCCACTATAGAACTCAACAGTTACATCTACTTGTTCAATACTATACTTTCCCTCTATCTTTTGTTTGTCTGGCTGATTCTTTGCTCATCGACCAAAATGTTAAAGCTTCCCTTCCTCAAAAGTCAATTGTCATGTTTTCAGTAAAGAGTTTGATTTATTTCTCTGCCTGTGATGAAACTTTAAGCACATTTTCAGGTTCGATCTTCCTTGTACTTTATGGAATCTATGCATTACATTGCTGATATAGAAGTATCATAATATCTCAAATATGGGATCCCAAAGTCACATGTGCATACTACAAAGAGCGTTTAATCACTCTTTTGATATATATCTTGTATTGATACCTAGATTTTACCAGGCAAAAGGTGCTTGCATAGGTGATGTATATCTTGCATCAGATGTTGCTTTCCATGACCGAAGAATTCCTATCCCTGTAAGTCTTTCTATCTTTATTTTTTCGTACTTGTTTTTTCCTGGTGCGTGGCTGGGAAGATGAAATTAAACATCAACATATGAAGCCTACCCCAATTTTTTTGGGAACAAACAAGGCTTAGATTGTTATTATAGGAAAATACATTATTGTTTTCTGACTTTCTCAATTTTTACCTCTGGGAGCGTAGTAGTAATGAAAACTGAAGAAGAGTTCCTTTCTTTTAAGGTTCTGGTAGAGATTTGATATCTCGATCACTTTTACCTGGTTGGCTTATGAAGTGATATACATATTCGACTGCTTGAATTCTAATATTTGGTAAAGTTTCTTCTGCTACAGTGAGAAAGTTGTTTTAAGTTTTAACTGGCATGTTTTTCAACTTAAATACGATATTTCTTTTTTTTTTTTTCCATGTTTTATTTAGAAGCAATTGAAGCTTCCATATATAATATGTTGTTAATAGAAAGAAAATGCATGCAGAAATTTAGTGGTATCAGTGCCATCCAATGAACTTTGCATTACTAATAATGAGAATTAGATCATCTCTAATTGGGGAAGACACAGGAATATAGAAAGTCAATGTCCTAGTTAATCCTTTACATTGGATACCTTGTATTGCTGGTTCCCATCCTTTGAAGAATAAATCAGTTTGCTTGAGTTCATTAAGTTGCCTTATGCACATGGTGTACTGGTACTTGTGTATCTTAAACTGTTCTTCGTAGTTTAACTTCTTCATTATCCAGTTACCTTCACTTCACCGTTGATGTTATAGGTAATTTTTATCTATTTGAAGCAGTAGTCTTCTGCACCCAAAAATGTTAAACTATGTCTGCAATCATATATATAGCCCATTTTTTTTAAGATTAATGTGAATAGTATTGTTATTTTTGGATAACCTTTGAACCTTAGCCCCTGTTTGATGAGGATTAAAATTAGATTTTTAGTAGATTTTGATAAAATTTGATGAAATGTGTGGTTGAGAAATTATGGGACCATGAAATATGTGGTTAAAGTTAATTATTGACTTTGACTTAGATTAAAATCTCGATTTTAATCGGTGCCAAACAGGGGCTAAATGTGATATCTTGGATCGCAGGTATTTGACCTGTATGGTGTAGGCACACGACAAGCTTGCTCAACACCCAATCTTGCGAAGGAGCTAAATTTAAAGGTCACTACTATATATTCATCCATTAAAAAATTCACAATCAGCATCTAATCTGGTTCTTACATTTTCCTTTTCTATATTACAATGTCTGTGCTTTACTATATGCTGGATACTGAAAGCAATCATTTTATCCAGTCAGTAAAGTCACATTTTATACTTGCCATGAATTATCCCGAGGACTTTGCCAACGATGGAGTGACAGGAGTCCAATTTTGATCTGAAAGTTTAAGCTAGTAGGTATTAGATCCATCCACATATCTATAATTTGTCTCTGGGACAATTTCCTTAAATGTGAACCCTCATAATGTACCCCTTCACGTGTTACTTTGAGCTCTCCATCAACTTCAATTCCCTTGATTTAAATCACTTTCAACAAGCACATTTGAATTCCATTTGTTACACTTTCATCAATTCCATGCTAATATCGTGCATTTTGCCTTAACCTTCTCCAAGGATCATGCATATTTTTCAAATTGAGAGAGAAAACGAGATACTTCGTATTCCACAAAAGTCCATAAACATCTCATTATCATGAATTTTATTTCTGCGAGGCTGGATCCAGAATTTTTGTGTGCTCTGCATGATAACAACACTAGGGCATGTCTTTTGGATTACTCCATAGTGCTTCAAGTTTTAACAATCTATGTATGTTTCAGATTGGCAAACTGTCCACTGGCGATTCTTTAGATATGTGCCCACAAGATGAAACTGCTATA